AGCAGAACACCAGCTCCCACTGATTTATAATAGTATGTTTTTGCACATTTTGATATACATTTTGTTTGGCACTGTTATATATAATGTAGTATTTTTTTTATAAACTTAGTTTAATAGTTGAATTTTGAATCACAAATTTTTGAAATCGAATATATATATATATATATATATATATAACTTATCTTTAACTGTTGTGTGTATAATATTATTTTAGATCATGTATCATTGTTGACAAAAAATTAGAATATAGATTTGTTTTATACAAATAAAAGATATGTTAATTTATATTTTAATTTATTGGTTGAAATTTATTTTTGTTCATAACAAAATTGTTCTTGAGATAATATATAAAAAACCAATAATAGTAAAAAATATAAAAAATTGTAACAGATTATAAAAAAAATTGTAAAAAAAATGTAAAAAAATGTAAAAATTGAAAAAATATAAAAATTTGAAAAACTTGTAAACAAATTTTGAAAATTGTAAAGAAATTGTAAAAATTGTAAAAACCGATTTAAAAATCTCATCTCCATCCCAATTTTTACAGTTTTTTATGAAATCGATTTTTCAATTGAAATTACTTTAATATATATCACCCCCACCCATTTTCATTCCTTTACAAGTTGTGAAAATTTTTGCAAATTTTGTTTTTTACAATTTTTACATTTTTTACAATTTGTTTACAATTTTTTACATTTTTTACAAGTTTTTATAATTTTTGGAAATTTTTTACATTTTTTACCATTTTTACATTTTTACAATTTTTTTTTTAATTTTTTTAATTTTTTCTTATTAATCTGATGTGTATCCTACATGGTTAGTTAGTATATACTACATAAGCACCATGTAAGCGCTTTCTACCTACATATCAAAATTAATTCGACGTCGATGAGGATGTTAAAATTCAAATTCTAAATGATTTTTTAGGAAAAAAAATTCAATTTCAATATGAATATAAACATTTTAAAAGTCCGTGATGAATCTATTAGTTATCTCTAAATTGGATTATTTTTATGGAAATTTCTCTTTAAAAAAATCATTAAAATCTCCCTCCAGTCTGAAAAACGATGGACAAAATCCCTAACCCTAAAAAACCTTCGACAGAGACTCCCACTTCGACAGAAAGCGAATCTCATTTCTTCTCATTTTTTCATCAATCCTTTGACAGAAAAGAGATACAATTCGGCAATCCCATTTCTTCTTCTCCAGTTTCGCATTTTGATAGGTTAGGGTTCGTTTTGCATTTTTTAGTTTTCGGTTTTCTCTTCCTTGTTGATGATGTTGGATGTTTTTTTTAGTAAGTGTGTTATATTTGTGTTTTTTACAGAATGTTAGAAGAAGAAGAAAGTATTGTGAATTTTGAACAGTTATATGACAAAGAAACAGAAGGTTTCTGTGAAGGGTATGATGATGAGAAAAATGTTTCAGATGGTGGTGCTGATGGTATAGATGATGAGGTTGATTACAGTGATGGAATACTTGGTTGTGATGGTCTAGGCTTAGATGAAGAAGCAAGTGATATCGATCACAATTTAATTAGACATGGTGACAATTCACACCTGCAAATGCTTGACTATGTGAGTGATGAGAAATACTATAGAAAGAGAAAAAGTGAAGAGATTCCGAATATTCCTCCTCGTAGTTCTAGGATTATCATTTCTCCGCAAACAGGCAGAAAGTTCAGCATCCCAAGACAAAAGCCAAACTGATTTGCTATGTTTTTGTTGTTATTTCTTGATCGATTTAACAACGTATTTCTGGATGTGCGGAAATAAACCCCGAGTCTAACATGTAGAATCGTAAGAATGAAATAGTATCGAATCATACTTGAGTCCATTTTCATAATGGAATCCGTAGTGTCTGAATAACGATCGGGAATTGTGATCTTCTAGATCAACACACGAACAGAAAATAATTCTCACAATATGGGACTGTAAGAATTCTGAAAAACCGTGTGTGATCTAGGGACTATAACTCTTAATTTATAGAAAATTAATTTCTAATTATTTCCAATTCCGCCCATAAAAGAAATACAAATAACACAATGGTATCTGCACATTAATCATACATTTTACCGAAATGATATTTAGGTCCTTAGATCACAAATATGACCTAAGTAAAATAGCACATAATACATATCTTAATTGATTAGAGTGTTGGTCCATATGATTATTGAAATAATCCCAACAATCTCCCACTTGGAGCAACACTCTATGCATTATCCTTTGAGCTCATAATTTTGCTATTTTATAAATCATTTCATCAATCTCGTCCATGAATATGTTAATATAGAACCATAGCGGCTTTCACCACATTATTCGCAGTTGAACCTTCTATGATCACATATGTCAACAAAATTCAACGACGTAGATCAAAATGTAGGTGTAAAGTATGGAAATTACATGTTATGTGATCTATACATGTCTATTTCCAACTGGTCTTCCTTAACCGTATGGAGATCAAATTTTATTTATTATACAGAGTAAAAAACACAATAAACCTTATTCTGCAGAAAATTATTCCGTACATAAGCAGAACACCAGCTCCCACTGAAGTCGCATATCATCAAATGATATAACACCCATATGAGCAACATGCCCATGAAAGACCGCGGGTGGTAGACCTTTAGTAAATGGATCCGCAATCATGGAAATTGTCCCAATGTGTTCTAAACTTAATTGACCACTCTGTATTCTTTCTTTAACAACTAGGAACTTTATGTCAATATGCTTTGACTTTGAAGAGCTCATGTTGTTATTGGAGTAAATTACTGCTGATTTATTATCACAAAATATTGTTGGGGTTATCTACAGGTTCCTAGCATGCGATCATATCGATCTAGGATTTGGTTTACTAGGTTTCATGCAGCAGAAGAAAGATCTAAACCTAGTCAAACGTCACACGCAACCAAACTCGCAAAACCCGAAAGATCGTGTATATCACCGAGGGAATCGTTACTTACCT